ATCGAGACAATAAAGTTCTCCTCGTTCAGACTCCGCGTATCAAAATGGCGGGCTCCTTTGCCCATCGCGGGGTGCGGCAGCTGCAGGTGAGGGACATTCAGGAGGCCCTGAGTTCCGGCGGCCTCCATGCGACCAGAAGGACTCTCTTTACTCCCTGGGCTGCCGGCACTGTCTGTGGGGCTTCGCTTGCGTTTTTCTGGGTCTACCAATTTACCAAAGTGAACGGGGCCGGAGACAAGAGTTCATCACCGTTAAAGAGAAAGAAAATATGAGGAGGTTTAAACTGGGAGAGGATTAACAGCTTCAGACAAAGAACGAAAAAAAAGATGAGATCTAAACTTTACAATTACAATGTTTTAGTGAATCTAGCAGCTTACGGCTTAATGTAAAGACACAGCAAAGACATGGACAAGTGTTAATAGCACAGGGCTGACAGACTTTCAGTTATCTACTTAGCATAAATAACACAATTCAGCAAGAACGGTGCTAACCTGCGTTTGGGACGTACCTTTGGTTTGATAATGTGTGCGTGCTATTTCCAGTAAGCTGAAGACACTGGCCATTCCTCCGAGGCCTGCGTTGGTGTAAGAGTGCTCAAGACTGGAAACTGTGCACTTCAAGATGTCCAGCATGCCTTTGTACACCTTTCTGCTCACCTCCTGAACACGAAACAGTGATTTCAACAAGACAACAAGAGTTGACATGACACTTTCTTGAGTTAAGTTTCAAGTTTTGGAGGGCAACAGCACGCACCACATCCCGGATGATCTCCTGTCTGGCGTCTTCCTCCGACTGGATGGCTCGGTTCAGCTTACTCAGCACGAAGACGCGCAGCTGCTCGTTCTCCAGCAGGCGGCGCACTTTTTTCATGTTGAGCCAGCCGACTCCCTGACCATCCAGAACGCTCTGCACCACTTCCTTCAAGAACTGCTGGTTCTCGCTGAATCAAAACAAAAGTAAAAAAAATAGCGGTCGCATTCAACAGATGTGGCTTGAAATACACGATGTGACAACATGCTCTGATCTTTGAAGACGTTACCTTGTGTTGTTGACTCGGCCCTGAGGAGAGGGAGACTCCCTCTTCACTGTTGGACTGTGCTTGATGACAGAAGACTTCTGGTCCACAAGTGCCCGAGGTGCACGAGCGCCTGGAACAGGAACCACAACAATGAGGTTCCTGAACACCACGGAGCAAGATAACCAAAATGACTACAACAAGGTCACTAGACAGAAGATCACACAGAAGAAGAGCCGCGGACACACACACGCACACGCACACACACACGCACACACACACACACCAGGAACAGTAAACCAGGACAGGAACCAACTTTTAAAATAGTCTTTTTGTTTTTTAAAGCTACCACATCAAAGTTTACATCACTGTGAGGAGGACTCTACTGAAGGTTATCTACTGCAGAACAGACACATTACGGGAGCTGCAAGAGTCTATTATTACAACAAAGGAGGTGAAGGGCAAATCAAACAGGGACATGGTGCGCACACACGCACACGCACACGCACACACACACACACACCCACCCACACAGGAGTCCAAATGGTGCTCTTGGTGCTGGCATCACACATTAGCGGCATAGAGATGTGAGGTCAGAGGGAGGATAGTGTGTACTATATCAGTGACATCATGCATGAAAGAAAATAAAGAGATGAGGATGGCAAGGGAAATGAGCTGCACTCCAACGTCACGAGGTGACTCGTTTTACACTGATGCAACGCCGCGCGATGCTGAAGAGTGACCCACTAGCCGGGGTTGGGTCAATCCTTTTAGCATGATATTGTGATGATTAAAGAGGCTCAAAACATTTACGCAAGTCGATTTATTTTTACTCTCTCAATTGGCTCAAATGAATACATACGAGACTCGACCCAGACTTGAGTCCAAACCACTGCAGCATTTATTGAAGCTGCTTATTAATGAGCGGCATATCTTGTTGCAGAAGACTCTCGTTCTTTCTACTTTAGAGACACCGTAGATTTTTCACATTAGTCTCTGAGAAAATGACTCTACTTCTCTCTTGATTTATTACCTCAGTAAACATTGTAAACATGAGTTTATGGTCTCAATCTCTAGTTTCAAGTCTTCTTCAATACAGCATGATGTTCATTTAGTACATTATGGTCCATTGAGAGTCAAACAGACCATAAAGCAGAGTATGATTTAGGGCGGGGCTACTGCGATTGACAGGTTGTTACCACCGTGTTGTCCGGTCTGTGAGGAGTTGTTTTTTTGTCTAACAGCTTTAACCCCTCCACAGTGTGTTTACACTTCATGATGTTAACTGCAACATTTTTGGTCGCCTAAAAATGTCTTGTTGAAGATTTAGTTGTATTTAGCTAATTGTAATTTCTAGTTGCGAAAACACAAGATAACAACAATCAAAAACCAAGATGGCGACGTTCAAAATGCCGAACTCAAGGCTTCAAAACAGTAGTCCACAAACCGAGGCGGCTGCATCCACTTCTTATATACCGTATATAGCGTAAACACAGATCCCTGGTTGGTCTGATATATTTTACATTTATTAAAAGAAAGACGGCCACACAATGTTGACAAACTGAGAGAAAGGCAGCATTCATTTTTGCGTGTCCACTATAAACGGAGCGTAAGAAGAAGAAAAAAGGACGAACATGAAGCCACAGAAAGCTGGACGATGCAGACAAGATGGCGACTGCTCTGCAGAAAAGTTCAGTTTTGAATCAAAGATATATTACACATCGCGTGAAATACTACACGAGTAATATCAAAACAAGCTCACTACAGTTTGTAACGACAAGACAGCCGACCAGAATCCTCCGAATGTTGACCGTTAAAGTGATTAATAAGCCCTCTTAGACTGAACGTCAACCGACCTGGTAGGAATGTATCCGTACGACCAGGCTGGAAGTCATATAGTCAGGCCTATGTGGGTTTAGGTTAAGTCAAAGCTCTAGGGAACATGTACAACAATACATTAAGTACGTGTGCTATCATCACACCATTAGATTTGTAACCCAAAAATCGTATGCAAAATGTTGCAGGATCAAGAGCATCAAGCTCCAGCATATATCTACAGCCCCACACTGTGATAGGTTCATTTGGTCCTGAGCTCCACAGACATAAAAAGAGAGATCTGAGGGGAAGTTGAGCTCACACTTTCTGCTTTCAGTCACTGGCTGATTGTGTTTCTACGGCATGAAAGGATGAGGGAGGAGCACACTCCTACATGCAGCGGACAGGAAGATTGTCTGATCTGACATCTGTCATTACAGGCCTGTTTATTGTCCCTTTTATGCGACAGCGGGGATCTATCGTTTGTTATTACTGCTGGAGTGACATGGGGACAAGAAATTAGGTTTTATTCCCAATACCAATACTTTGATTGCACAAGTGGAATTTTTCAGCATGTTTTTGTTTGAAAGCCAATAAAGCTTCGCTGTTTGAGAAGAAATCATAAAGTGATCGCAGTAGAAGCGGCGCACCGGCCCCAAAGGCTCTTTATGAGTCAACATTACTGCAGGAGGAGGGTTATGAATGTGACCAGACATAACTCAGGATAAATGAAAAAGTTTCTTGGTAACAAACAGAAGTCTCTGAAGGTTTTCATCAATATTCTTTGCTGGTCGGCCTGCAGCTTTTTAACTTTAGTTAGAAGAGCCCAGTGGTTTATTAATGGAGGACACTTTGAGGCTGTTTTAATTGATGCTCACCCTCGGGGGTCAAATGATCTGTCGACCTGAGTAACAAGGCAGAGATCGTAGCGGAGCTGATCTGAATCCCAAGTCTGGACCAGCAAAAACTTCAATTCATCCGCACTAACACGTCAGCTTACAGACAAAGTTCATCAGCTTACAAAGTGTCACTCTAGCATCAACACCGGATGGATTTTAGGCTGGATTTGACCCGGCAGGGTGGAAAATTATAATAATAAACCCCTCAGTCAGTCACTCAAGTTACATTCATAAAGAAAAAAGACGTAAAATACTTCAGAAATATCACTCATCTAGGGGGATCTGAACATGTACCATTCAGAATGTTTTGATCCCATTCTTCATTCAATCTTCTTTATATCGTACTGGCTGTGACACCAAATATCCGTGTGGATGGTCCACCAATAATGAAGGTATCTTCTGGACTAACACCTACGCACTTCTGTTATTGAGTATCATCCGCTCTGCACACTTTCAGTGGTGCAGACACAACAGCAAAGTGTGTGATGGACAGGTACCCATTTACATTTAAAACCTAATTGGAAACCTGCACGAACAAGAAAAGAAACACTCGAGAAAGCCTTCAGGGAGACAGGAAATCATTATGTGAGCTGGAGGTGAGTTTTCTATCTAGGATGGCCTACTTTATGAGTCGATTGAAGATTTAGTCATGGGATTGTCATAATTAATTTTAAGATGATGGCAGCACCACTGATGGGTGTGCTGCCATCACAGATGAGGACTGGATAACTAGTTTTGGTGTTTGTTTGTTTGGTGAGATGTGCAACCACACAGTTTAGGAAGCAAAGATGCTCCATTGGACGCTTAAGCCCAAGACTGTGAAACTTTGAGGTCGTATTTCATATGTACTGTATGTATTACTGGTCCCGTGTTTACGTGCGTCGCTTGCTTTTTATTTATCAGTAGATTGATTGTATTCATATCCCGTTTTTAAATCTAGTGGCTAGATGAGTTTTAAGACTCATTCCTGCAGCACTCCATGTGACTCTATTGTTGTTGCACAATGTCTTCAATTGTTGTCTGCTGCGAGCCATCTGACTAGTTATGTCGTTTATTAAAGTTATCCACATTTTATACCCCATCTAACAAAAAAACAAAACATTACAAACCCCAGAGTACAAGTGAAGTTTTGTTTTGAAAATAGAGAAATAACATTGGAAATTCAAAATAGTTAATTTACTAAAATTAAGAGTACTGTTAGCTCTGACTAACAGTGACGGCTTCAGTTCCCTCCCAACTCCACCGGACAACTCAAAGGAAACACACAAAATGCTCTGCAACAGTGTGCCTTATAAGACGTTTGTAATGTTGACACAACCATAACTCATCTACCAGGTTGGCGTTTTCATGACAAACATCTAGACAACCGGCATCACGCCGGGCAAAAGCCTGAATATAGCACACTAACAATAAAGATGTTCACAAGTTAGGTTTAAAACTTGCATAATGTGAACGTCGTGACTGCTCGTTGTGTACAGCACAATTGGGCCCAACCCCCGCTTGTCCTCTGTGGGAGCATAAAGGACAAGAAAAACAACGAGGAACAATGCATGCTGGTCGATTATCTTAGCTCATTGTGTTCTGATTCTGCATCTCAACATCCTGTTCGCTGTCTTGCGCTTCATTTGCTTCCCTGTGGTTTTTTCCTGCATGATGTATTGTTTTACTTTTTCCTGTGATTACGGATGTCCTTTGAAACGTTCCCGTGATAAGACTAGTTCAATAAATACACGAACATACGGTGGAGTGAAATAGTTAGTCTGAGGAAGGGGAGCAGTCACTATATGAATGGCGGCATGAAAACACACGGTGACTGAAATGAGGGTAGACAGAAGGGGATGCTGGGAGATGTAGTTGACTGGCTTGGAGAAGCATGCAGCTCACTCAATTAAAAAGGGCAGAACCCACCTTCTCCACTCCCCGGGCCAGCCTCTGTAATTATCTCCATTAGAGAATTTAGCCCAAATACTGCACACAGAACCCAGAATTAGTGCCACGACAAAAGGTGGACAGAGAGAGAGACACCGGACCAGACACAACCAGTCTGAACATCAACCCATAACACAACACACATGCAGACTCAACATGGCGCCAAAACAAAGAAAAGAAAAAAGGAAAAGGAGAAGGACAGACAGAAAAGAGAAAACGACAATATGTGCCGATGATGGTATCAATGCTGAAAGTGTTGGATAAGTTGACCATGTGTTTGGCAACACCATAGAAATAAAATAGGAGTACGGACATTCCCATTCAAGTCAACGTGGTAGGATGGTCAGCGTGGCGGCCATTTTTATGTGCACCGTTGCCATTGCAATTGTTGTAGTGGGCTAACTTCCGTATAAACTAAAACGACTTACGGCAGACTAACTGAGGTGAGGTTTTGCAGCAATGACATAAGATTACGGAGCGTAGAGATACAGAGTGAACGAGTCAAATTTAACAACTTACTGCTTCATCCACACTCGTTGCCACAGCTTAGTAAAGCACATTGCTGTCACCAGAGAAGTAACAACTTTGTTCGGCTCATTTTCTGTAGCCAGTGTAGCATTAAAGCACGGTGGAATTGGCAAGTTAGCTAGCTGGCTAATTCCACAGTGCTTTGATGCTACACTGGTTACAGAAAATGACGTGAACAGCGTGCTGGAGACCAGCATCCGTGGTGGGTCTAACGGTCCCTCCGCCTCACCCCTATTCACTCTAGAGAAGGAGAAGCTACCTAGCCAACTAGCCAGCAACAACGCTTTACAGCCCGACTGACGTGTGTTGTCACCATGAAAACTAACAGCAATCGCCATTTTAAAAGTTAAATATCCATTCTCCTCCTATTCTATGTCTATGGCCAACACATTCAACATGTACAGCACCAAGTATGAGTTATGTGTAGCTCATACTTTGTTGTACATACACATCAGTGGCCTGAACCATGTGATGTAATGCTGAACAGCCCTGTTCAACTGTGAAAATGTAAGTCTAGAGCAATGGATGGATTCGTTACTGTGGAATTTGTGCATGGTGTCAGACAGGAATCTTGTTTTTAGAACAAAAACACAAAAGATAATCAAGATACACAGTAAAATACGAGATTAGGAAACCTGGGATCGTCAACAGCTTTTTGTTAAATTAGTGAGTGACCTCAAAAGGGGAAGGAAACACTCAAAAATGGGAGTCACCACACAAGCAAGCAAGGAAAAACACGCGAGTCAGGGGGCACCGAGAGACCATTCTGTGAACGTCATTAGAAAACTACACAGAAACATTAATTAGGTTAATGCAGTTCAAAACGGACTGAGCATTCTTCTTGCAGTAGTAAGGATGTGCAGATGCCACACCAATACATTTGCAGTCAGAAAAGAAATCTTTGGACGATATATACTGTATGTACAGTGTATGTGTGCATCAAAAAGACTCCCACAGTCACACAAAGCAGAATGTCAAAGGAACAGAAGGGGAAGACACACGGATAAACAAGAAAGACATGAACAGGTGCATCTTCTATCTTAGTCCTATGCTGAGGAACAGGGTGTAAGATAGGTATAGGTCACGTCAAGGATCAGGAGATTCCTAGTCAGGGGGCTACAAGAAGACTATCACACCAGACATGACATACCCGGGCTGTCAGGGTCATCTGAACGACAAAGACAAAACACATCATAATCAAAGGGGTGGAACATTTGCTATGGCAGCTATTCCACTTGGAGTAGAGCTATTGAGTTAGATTACCATGCTTCACCTGGTTTTTCTCTCAATTAAAGTGAAAATCCAGCCTCAACAGAATTCGTATTAGCATCTTAAACCCTTCATCACCCAAAAAATAAATCATAAATACTAACCAGTTTAATTATTCTGTTCCCAAGTGCAATTTCAGTCCCTGTAACTTTAGCAAAGCATGACAGATTTGTCTACAAAATCCTTCTCTCCTTGATAAAAATATGTGACTGTAGATGGATTTATTTTGTTATGTTTAGGTTTCCATTCATTTATCTGATGCATCAACATCCGAGTCCTTAAAACCATATATCCTGCAGTTGTTTTGGATTGTTTACCCTTCCTTACTCTTTCGTTGTTCGCTTGGGAAAAGACTGAGACCTGCCTCGCCACATTCATCTGCTTTCAAATGCTACCAGTGTGCACATTTGTACCAATGCTTGAACACATTCTACACTCTCAGCTAGTGGTGAAGGAGAAAAAAGCCAAATTAATGGGAAAAACTGCACATGAGAAATAGTTGATCATCTCTTCAAATTAGGAACAAACTGTGGCAACATCAAGTCTGCTTTTGAGTGGATTTTCCTATTAATCGTGAGAGAAAAACTTTGTTTGATATGTCAATATTCTCCTTTAAAATAGTGCCATATCCGTTTGGCAATCCAGCGGGAAGAAAGTCAAGCTATGAAAACAGATCTACAAACCTGCTTGTTCCATTTCCTCCTCAACATCAAAATTGAAATATTCTTTTACCCAAAAAAGTAATTTAGAAAAATAATTGAAAACAAAAAGACAGAAAAGGACAACATTTAAAAAAATAATAATTAAATTACTGAATTATACTGTTTCATATTGACACGTTTACATAAATTATGGATTATTTTTAGTAGATAAGCAATGGCCATAAAGGTATTTATGATCATTATATTAATTATTTAGAAGTGTAGTATCTTAAAATCCTAGTATTTAAAGTGTAATCTAAATGTCAATGGTAAAAAAAAAAAGCATAAAAATGTGTTATTAATTAATTAATGTTATAACATGACTGCAAACATGAAGCCAGTGATGGAAAAATGATTAAATGAGTGGGTCAGAAAAATACAAATGTTAACGATAATTACTAAACATTTGTTATTGACTCTCATTCTTCAACTTTGTCAACTCTTCCTACTGTACCTTTATGTCCTACACAAAACATTTTATTATAAAGTTTCTCATTACCTTAGAAAACTGAACAAGAATATGACAGAAACGAACTTGAACAGACGTGAGAGCGGTCGGGTTTGTGTCGTCATACCTTTTAAACTGGGGAACGGCGTTTTCTCCCTCGCAGCCTTGTTGGGGAGAGCCAGATTGGACAGACTGAAACTGGTGCCGTGGTTCTTGTAAAGATTGCCTGTCGAGGGAGTGTTAAAAATATATAGTCAGAGAAGAGGAATACTATTCAAATGCAATACCAAAAGTATCCTAATTAACATTATTTACCCTTCACATACAATTTGGAGAAGATATTTACCCTCATTGTCATCATGTCTCAGTGATTAAGCAATCTAAACAAGACGCAACTAACCCTAAAAATATGTAAATGTACAAATCTGTAATACACTAGAATTACTGCCTCACGGTTCTATACCTCAACCAACCAGTCGTTCTGGTCACTTGATGAACTTAAAGTGCAACATTTACTCTCCTTTTTGTGTTAAAAACAGCTGCCTGCAGCGGTCGTAAACAACACTGTACGAGCGGTGAGTGTTGTCAGAAGCACAGAGAAAATTGCATGACAAGGCAACATTATGTTCTCTCTCATGAAGGCAACTACACCCACTGTACACTGTGGATTTAATGGCCTTTCTGAATTTGTGAGGGGGTGTGTTCAGGCTCAAGCTGGGTGTTTGGTCTTTGAAGACTCAGTGAAATGAAAAATGCATTTTACCAGCTTTAATCCTGTGTCCCTGTTTTCATTGTTTATTTATCTCCTGTTGGATGTTAAATTGATGAAAATCCCAGTTTTCCCCCCTCCAGGCTTTCAAATCTAAATAGCCGCATCGCTCTAATAAAAACGCACTTCACTGTTTGTGCATGTTAGTAGCTAACAGAGCAATATGGAGGGAGACAGGAAGAGATGTGGGCAAGAACTTTGTTTTCATTTCCAAAACAATGTGGCTGAGATCTAATTAATTCAAGGGAAACGTTGACGCATGCAGATGAACGTCCGCTGCATGACGCAAAACGACTGTTGGAGTTGATGTGCATTTCCCTCGTCCTCCTCCTCCTGATGTAACAACAGGTGAGGGAGGTGTGAGTGGAGTAGACAGTCCTCTGTAGCTCTGCATCGCACAGGGCTGTACGCCCTTGGTTATGCTGCTTCATTTCATCATCGCCCACAGAAATCAGCCCACCTTCCATGTTTTACACTTGGCTGAAAACATTCTTACTGGCAAACGACATGAGTCCTCCAAATCCGTCATTGCTGTTGTTGGAAATGGTGGAGTTTGGCGAGCTGTTGCGGGAGTCTCCCTCCCCGTCGGATTCACCGGGGAGCCTCAGGCTGCAGGGACGTAGAGGACGCTGTGCCCTGAAGAAAAAATGACCAAAAGACATTACCGCGCGTCAAAAAGACACCAGGACATTCACAACCGGACATTATGGGAAACTCTCAAGCATTCACGCCACATCACACCACCACAGATTCAAAGACCACCATGAATGTAGGTAGGGGTTCTGACATGCTGGGTGTTGACAGAGAAACATTGCATGGTCGGTCAGAGAGCCCATTTGAATGATGATACTGCATTCATTCAAGTGATGAACAAGCTTAACACACTTGTTGCCATTGAGGTTCTGGTTGAATCGAGGGGTGTATGACTCCACTTGCTCTTCTGCATCGGGGTCATCCTCTGAGGGGAAGCCATACTGAGGCTCAAAGTACGGGTTGTCGTACTCTTGCTTTTTGTTGGCGTGGTCCGCCAGGCCGGCGTCGACCGCGGGTCTGTGGAACGGCGGACCGCCCAATCCGGAGACTGGGTTCTGTAAAGCGGCACCTGCTGATGCTTCAATTTCAGGTGCTTCCCCTTGCTCCTGGAAAAAAAATGACCACACAGATCAATGGGAATTATGGACAATTAAGTATATAGCTCAATTCATAAATTGGACAGATCACCCACTTGGTTGACTCCCTGGATGACCGTGCTGGGACTTGAGCTTGCAGTTGTGCTGGAGCTTGAGCGAAGAGGTTGTCCATCAGAGGGTTCGGCAGGTAAGTCCCCACTCGGTGGACCCTCGGAGCCCTGGCCGTCCCCGAAGTCGGGGAGGTCTTGAAACTCGACCTCGCTAGCGTCTCCCAGTGCAGCGTGGGTAGGCGGGTCCAAGCCTGAGACATCACAGTCAAACATTAAAAAAGGGACGGAATGAATATGGTCAACGCAGAACTTGAAACATGAAACAACAACTTACTTGGAGTGTCTCCCTGGATGTCACCTTGGATCATCTCACTCACAAGGTCTCCAAGTGAGGAGTAGGACGAGCTGGAGTCGTCGTATGCCTCGCTGTCACTGCCACTGCAACAAATGTATATGAAAAATAGGAAAGCATCTTGCGGTTTCTTGCGGGTAGTTTATACTCGCCGTAGGGAAGCCGGCGCGAGATGCGTGCGCCAGAGTATTACGTAATCGCGGCTAACGCAAAGACCCTGCAAGTGGTCGAAGTACTTGGTCGTAAACGTCTAAGTTTTTGTAACCTTTCAGACGTGACTGTCACAATAGTTCACTGATGAAATCACTATCAGCATGTGATTGCTGTAGAAACCAGAGGTCTTAAAAATCTACATTTGAGTAAATATTTTGCAGGCAAATCATATTGTTCACCCGATATTCATCTCGTCTTTCTTCATAATGCATTCTATACTTGACTTCTTTCTTTACGATGCTTGTATAAAGGCCATAAAGTAGTCCAGTAGTAATAATGCAACAAACAGCGCGCTGAGCATAAACGCATGTGTGCTCGTACAAACAAAGCTTTACCTGTCGGTGGGGTCAGACTCGTTGCCCTCATCCTCCAATGGACCAGCCATGGCTTCCACCAGCTGGGAGCTTCCATCGTACACTCGGTAGAGCACTGGCTGTAACTGGTGCGCATACCACTTGGGCTTGTCTCCGATTAAGGAGGGGTCAAACACATCTGAAAACAGAAGTGTGTAGAGTATTAAGTTCAAAAACACTGACTTTAACGGAACAAAGACACAGAGCACCGTCACCATAAATGAGCCTTACTGTTGTGTATCCTCTGAAAGGCGAGGTTGGTGGGATTCAGAGCCCATTCTCCATAGAACTCCACCGCCTGGGTGTGAGACAGTTTATCTGCAAAGCAAGAGCGCCGCGGCCGAGACGCCAGAAAAGAAGTACACTGAAAGGCCACCACGGGCCGGGGGAAGAGGCGCAAGGTGCGAGTGTGCATCTGGAACCCCTGGAGAACATTTGGGGAGTTGAAGAACCGAACCATGGCGACCCTGTAAAAGAAAGTTAGTTTGGCTTTTTTTTTTTTTTTTTTTTTTAAATCGTAAATATGCAAAATATAATTAGGATTGCACGATATATGGCTGATATATTGACAGGTAAGTAAGAAAATACAATTATTTAATTGGATTAAATTAGATTATTTAATTGTTATCAGCTACAACAAAAAGATAATTATTGGTTATCGGCCCTGAAATTCCATACCAGTGCATCTACAAATATAATTCGTGAATCATTTTCTCTCCCTTTTTTTTTTTTGTTCCTCGCACCTTAAATGGACAGAGAGGAACGTTCATAGCTTGCCTGGTGGCTACATCCACAGAATCAACGTCATTGCCGTAGATCAGAGGGTTGAACTCGGTGGAGGACGGAGAGGCTTTATCTCGTCCCGGTGGGAGCAGAGGCATCTCGTGACCTTCCTGGAACTTCTCCAGGTTCAGGATGGGTTGTGTGTTCAAACTCATACTGGCCAAGGCCTAGAACAGGTGACACGGGGACACGTTAAAAACACAGCAGTGGATTAAAGACAATAAATAAAAACACAGCGCTGTGATGGACCACTCCCACAATTGGCATCAACATTTAGTTAAAATATCAATTTCTTACACTTAATGGGACTTTATATGAATATTTGCCCTCTCTTTTGAGGGAAAAGAATTTGGGCCAAAGTGAGTGAGCATTAGGGCTGGACCCGAATATCCGTTAGTTGGGAAGCTATTCGGTTTAAAATTTTGGTATTCAGATTTTGGTTTTTTTGTTTTGCCCCTCAGGATTAGAAAAATGCATAAAACACACCAAACCTTTTGGAGAAAAAATAATGTAATTGTAGAATTAAAAAATAGAAATACAAAAAACACTGTGGGGACTTTGAGGTCTACACTCTCACACTGGGATGAGGAGAGGAGTGTGTGCATCGCCCGCACTCGTCGAAAAATGACACGTTAAAAACAATGCATGTCTCCGAGTGGTGACAGAGCACTGTGCTGCTTTAATGACACAAGTCCGTTCCGTCTACTAAATATTCGCTGTTGATTACTTCCAAAACTCGAAATGGTATTCGGGACAGCCCTGCTGACTACTGGAATGGGGACTTAAAATGGAAAATGTAGTTTATGGGATAAAATAAAATAGATCTAAATAGTTAACCCCTCCCCCCCCTATTATTAATATTGTATTACTGCTTTCACAGTTTGTCTCGACTCTCATTACAAACAGCAGCTGAGGGATCGGTTGTGTGCATGTTGATGCCTCTGGTGGGTGCGTCACGTCTGAGAGGAAGGGAGTCAATATGCATGGGTTTGCTTTGAGGGAAACTGCTGCAGACTTGAGGGTCAAATGTTGAGCTTAGCATTATGGAACATTTAGTGGCCGGGTCTGCATGAATGTTAAAACTCCGTCAAAGTGGGTTAGCTTCATCATATCTTGTTTTGGTTTACGAAGAACACTCACTGATGCCAAGATAGATGCACGCACATTCAGTCATGCTCAAGCCAGAGCTAAGCAGTGTGTTAGAAATAAAAAACCGGTCCGCAACATTCTGTGATTATGCAGTTTATTCACGTCTCCCGAGAGTAGGAGACGAGTTGTAGTCGCAAGCAAAATAATGTGAGAGAGAAGATTTCCGTGCAGGGGCATTACACATTCCACAGGAGGAGAAATGAGTAACCTTATTTTCAGAGGAGAAGATCTGCTTTTGGGTGATCACGGTCAACCTAACCAGACACTAGGAAGGGGATAAGAGAGATGCGAGGAGAGTCACATGAAGGCCTGGGATGACAACTTGGAACCGACACTGGAACGGCACATGACGGAAGGGTCACAACAATGGCCCTTTCCCTTTTCTTTTCTTAGTCTCCTTTCAACAGCACTTCCCCATTCGTCCGCTTTTCGCTGACGGCAGATAAGCATATTTTGGCGACACCCAAATAGGTCGAACTTGCTGACGATGTTTGTGATTTGTTTTGTGCAAAGAGAGATACGACTTGCCGTTCCTTTCATCATTTATTTACTGAAGAAAGGAGATAAGAAAAGATACATTTGGGTTTGTTTTGAGAAAGTGATGGATGGCCAGTAAGAGCGAGAGAGAGTGAGTGAAAGCCAAGAGAGGAAGAGCAATATGAGGAGAGAAGAGATGTGGGTTTTTTTAATGCTTACCATGAAAGACAGTGAGGAACACAGACAAGCACAAATATGACCAAAAACCAGACTTCACCTACAGAAAAAAGCCACTAAAGGACACATGGAGGCCATCCATGGTGACCAGCTGGGACAAACCAGTGGTCACAATGGAGTGGTGATGACAGATACGAAAACAGCAGATCTTTTCAGAAACAGAGATGAAATACTTGCACAATAAAGCATAAGATAAAAGCCTGAATAAGGTCTTACTGCTCAGAAACAAAAATCCAGGGCTGAAACAACACGACCACCATGTTTGTCCAAGTAAAATAAATGAGTCGCTCGTTAGGACCAATTTATTTTTTATCCAGTGTGCAAGTATTTTTAGTGACTCTCACACGAGCAACATTCTGCTTTGGCATCACAGTCTTCAGATAATCGCTTAAACCATCTTCAGCGACATTTTCTCCAATCACAGATATTAATGTTGTTATGTTTTTCGTTTCCAAATATACAACTGCTAAACTGAGGCTTTGCACACTCCTACACACCAGCTTCTCAGTCACACATCCACACACACACACACACACACACACACACACACACACACGGGAGGGAGCTGCTAATCTCACACACACACTGCCAACGAACCGGCTCTGATTCAAGGCATACAAAACTAAATGCGTGTCTGCGAGGATGGTTGAGGAAAGGTCTGTGTTGGTTGTATTCACTGAAGGTGTGAAATAAAAGGGGACAGTTCAGATACTTTGAAGTTGTGTGAGGTACGGATCAATAGTTTTAA